TGACTTCCCACGCAGCTGGGTGGCACTGGGAGAGAGATGACAGCCATCTGTAAGGGCTGAGCGGGCCGGTGCTAATTACCACACGGGAACGGGATCGCAGTCATCGAGCTGGCAGCACCAGGCACTTGCTGAAGACACAGGGCTCGTACATAGTTTGTATGTATATAATTTATCACATGGTCTCACACACAGTATAACAGAGTGGTTTGGGTTGGAAGGGACCTTAAAGACCACCTAGTTCCAACCCCCCTGCCATGGGCAGGGACACCCTCTGCTAGACCAGGTTTCTCAAAGCCTCATCCAGCCTGGCCTCGTGCTGAGAGTCCTCTGCTCCGGTGGCTCCCCAGTGTCACGTTCAGTGGGAATGCTTGTTAAAGTTACTACCAAAGGGTAATCTATTACAAATTACTCATTAATGCAACTGAAAAATCAGTGACATATTACTGATTGTGCCTGTGTCACGGCAGCGAGGTGTGGTTCACACTGCTGGTTTGCCTTGTGCTTATTGCAGCCACTTTCTCAACACAACACACACACACGCTTTTCTCCTCCTCGCCTGGATGACTACGTTGGTCTTGCCTTTTTGGAGCCGCTGTGCCTGGCCGCATGCGCTGCCTCCCAGGCTGCTTTAATGACTTGCAACTAAAGACACAGCTACAGATTTGAGACCTTTTTGCATCCGTTTCTGGCAGGTACTGGGATGTGCTAAGCCTCCAGGCTGTGCCCCACGGCCATCCGTGCTGGTAATGCTTGATGGGTGTTTGGAAAGCAACGTCAGCAGCCGAGTCACCAGGCTTTCCCCACCTCCGCCGGCAGCAGGTGGGGGCACAGCCAGCTCTATACAGGTAAAATCTGCTCTGTCCTGCACTCATCCAAGCCCGCTTCCAAAATCTCACCACCTCAGCACGAATTGCTGAAAGGCCTCTTTGCTGGCTACAGCCCCTTGGCCCTCCTCCAGAAAGAGAAAAAGCTCTAATCATCTTTCTACTAGTTTGGCACCATCAGAGTGTTATTGTTGCTTGTGCATGAGGAGTTTTGCCAGTGGTAGATATTCCCACTTTAAGCACTCTCATTAAGGAGCCAGGACTTTGTGCAAGATCCTCACATGCAGTTCCAGAGCCCACGTCTAAAACCAGCTGCAGGATGGGCATGGCTGACCAGCAACGAGTCATGGCAACAGCTAGTGCTCGCTATATATTCAGTCCTTGATTTATTCATTTCACCCACAGATGGGTCTTAAATATTAAAGAATTATGAAAAACAAGGCAAGAAGGGGAAGGTATTTAACTAACAAAGCTGGGAAGGGAACACAACATACAGATCAGGAGAGCACAACAGTGAACAGACTGAGAACAAAGAAGGAGCTGCCCAAAAGAGTTTATTCGGGAGTCCTGCACCACGGAATTTGCAAAGTTTGGAGCCATAAATAGCTGAACATACAACAGAAGTGGGGAAACAAGAAAGCCCAACTCTTGCGTTTATACTCATGGCCACAGGACAATTGTGGCTCGGTGCCACCATGCAGGTGGAGGACACATCTGTCTCGGAACAATGGGTGGCCAACAGGCAGAATGAGTGGGTAAGGCTCAGTAAAAGGCTAAAGCTACCACAAAACCTAACAAAACTGGAAGAGGAGGACTCCACAGAAGCCCACAACCAGAATATACATATAAAGATTGACAAAAACCATGGGAAATGGGAAAGGACAGGCAGCAGAAAGGGACACAAGTTGCAGAGCAAGTGGAAGCCAATGGGTAGGGCTCGCTGGTCAGCTCCCAGAGGGAGGTCAGACAGGATGGGGGCAGGTCAGAGAGCTGCTGCCAGCCCCCCAAAGCTGGCTGGCATGGCGGACACAACTCCCCGTGGCACCGCAGGATGCAGCCACACGCCTTTTATCATCGGAGTCAGGTTGTTCCTCCGCGAGGCGCAGGAAAGCTCTGCTCTCCAGCTTCGCAATGAGCCACTTCCTTTTCTTTCTTTTTTTAGGATCAGAATTTCTTTTCTCTTCCTCCTCCACCTCAAAAAAGCGGATATTTAATAATTTTTTCTTGCTGTCATGAAGCGATGGGTGGTAGTGGCGCTGCACCTAGTGACATCACACCGTCAGCCTGGCCAAGTCTTCATCCCGTCAGGGCTATTCAGTAAAGCACAACTAATTATTCTGCCAGATCCTCGACCAGATGACAAATTGATTCACGGTACTAACTAAAAGAAGGGAAGGAGGAGAAATTGCACCATTTCCTATGACTGAAACTACATTAACCCGTCACCCCAAGGAAAACTTTTGACAAAGTTTTTATTGCGGCGGTTGAGCTATACACCAGACGGCTGGAGCGCACTGCCAGGAGACCCCGGCGTTGTGCTATGAAAGTTCATCTGCAGAGCACAGTTTGCATTCAATATCCATCAGCGTTCAGAGCAGAAAGACCTCTTTTTTTTTTTTCCAGAACATCTGCAGAGTATCTCATATGTCAGAGGACTTAAAACTGTTATCAGAAACTACTAATTAAAACTTCAGATCAAAAATACCTGTTTTTCTAAGCTGACCTGAGGATGCTGAAAAGTTAAAGTAACACCAGGGAGACCACTGAAAATGAAAGCTCTTAGTCAATCTGTCAGTCAATTCACAAGGGAAACTTTTCCTGGATACTACAAGAAGTCTATAATTACATCATCATGGCAAGGGCACCTCAGTATGTTGCTTATTAATCATTTCCAGGAAGAAGACTATCAGAAAGCCATTCTTAATAGCACCACTGCCCAGCAACGCGGGCTCCCTTGCTCACTGCAGGGTGGGTACTTATGATTTCCCTCGCATGAATTTCCTCTCTGAGTAAATTTCAATCCCTGCCAGAAGCCTGCAATGCAAATGCACCTTTTCACACGTTCTTCTGACAAAAGGCTGGATTCACACAACACCCTACAACTATAACAAACTCCCAAACTCTCATGAAACGATTGTCCGGTAGGAGTGACAGATGCAGCCCATCCAAAACAGCGAGCGCTGCTAAATCTCGCATTTTCCCTTCTGCTCCAAAGACACAAGACACCTTCTCTCTCCCTTCTTGGCAGTGAGAAACACCAAGGTGCAGCACCACCCAAGCTGCCCTGCGCTTGCTCCTTAAATGAAGTGACCAAGACTTGTTCACCAAACGCGTATGACCAAAGCATCATTCCCTTTTAAAAATGTAGACAACAGTAAAAGAAACAGAGAGAGACAAAGGGGAAGAGTACAGGAGGACAAGTATGACTGTCACACCTATCTGGAACCCTTAAGCCTGTGTTTTCAGAGGCACTATCTACTCCCTCTACTACACAAAGCAACTGAGAAGAGCTAAGAAACAGAGACAAGCAAGAGGCAAAGCACGTTGGAAAGGAGGAGAAAGAGATATACACCATGTAGGTAATATCACAGACAGAGTATTATTCTTGTGAACCATGATCCAGAAGAACAATACCCGAAATGGAAGCTATGATGCAGCAGGGTGAAAGACAGCAGACTGTTAGAACTGCATAAAGTCCACAAGCGATTATCAGTGTCAGAGCCCTCCCAGCTACCTTTGCTTCAATGAGTCCTGTGATCTGCTGCTCCGTTCCTCCAAGGGCTACTGATGCAATGTGCCAGATTCCGTGTTTCTTTCCAACTGTTCTGAGTCTCCTGCATCTGATCTCAAAGAAGGGAGCAGAAACAGCTGGAAGAGAGAAACCAGAATGGCATAGTCCAGCAGCAACCCTTGGAAGAATAAACAACGACAGCCTTGTGAGAGGTACCACTGTCCCCCAGCATGTATGTTTGCATGTGGACACGTATCCACATATCTTCTAGAAGAAACACGTGTTGCCAGTGCCATCAGCTCTGGCTGGTCACAGAGCACCAGAGCATCTTCTGCCTTGGCGTGAACTCTCAGTGCACTCTCAGTGCAAGCTCAACAGCACGGCTGCCATCCACAGTCACGGGTGCCAAACGAGGCACGCGTGCTAAATGCAGTCTAAATTTGGCACCACGCGAGTTCTCCTCCACCTTTCCTCCCTGAGCAACTCCACCTACTTTGCAGCGTGTGAGTGGCTTGCAGGGAAGCCAGTCAAGGTCTACTCTGTTTAGGCTTTAAAGCTCCTGTAGATCTAGCTGCAGGCCAAAGGAGGAGGGCAAAACAGCAGACCAAAGGAATAAGCTTCTTCAGAGAGAACTTAGGTATTTGCTGCCAAAGGACAGGATTAATTGTGAAAATCAGGAAGTCAATGAAGCAGAGAGCAGCAGGAGGCCACTGTAGATAATAAGGACAGTAGAAGCAAGGCTACTGCTCACCAAGGCACGTGAAGGGGAGATAAAAATGCTCGTGCTCTTTCATATGTGCGAAGACTAGAAAGAGGGAGTGAAGAGGTCAGGGAGATGGTGCTGGTGGAGGAATGGCCATGAGGAAATAAAAGCCTTTGAAAATGAACCATGGAAAAGTGATTAATAAGGGAAGAACTGTCAGGGTTGGTGTTAGGATCTTCTCATTTCCCCCAGAAAGAAGTAAGATGTTGCAACTCACAATGAGATTTGGGGAGGGAAGACCAGGAGCACAGCAAGACCAAGACAGAAGGATGTCACTTAAAGGGCAGAAACAGAATTTCAGACAGAGAGCAAATCAGAGTAGGATGGTTAGGAAATACACATAGGAGAGGGCAGCAAGCAAGTTTAAAGGCTCATGGGATATTTAAGGCAAGACAGCCCAAAGGATCTCCTGCCAGTCTTACAACAGGGATGAAATGGAAACCGTCACATGTTTCACGACCACAATTTCTTTATAACCGACTACTAGAGCACACAGGCGCACCACATCTCTCCAGGACAGCAGTACCACCGCGAGCCTGGTCCTAGCACACGCAGTACCATTTCTATAGGGGACCCTCAACTCCGCATCCCTTCTGTCCCACACAAACCTATTGGCTTTTCACCGCAAATTAAGTCCCTTTTGTAAGCGTCCAGTCATCAAGGGCAGTAACAAAAGGAGTACCTGGCGTATTGCAAGTCTGCCTGTCCCCTGAAGAGTTGGTTGGAGGTGTCCGGTGTCGGTAGACTAGATGAGGTTTATTGTGCTCTTCTTCATACTCCTGTTCCTCGAGCGATAGCAGTGGCTCTACGAAATAGTCCCCATCGTCAGACTTGAACGTGCCTAGCTGAGAGGGAACAGAGAGGAGCAGGGGGTCAGCTTCAGGTGATGACAAACCACGGAGCAGGACTACCCAACAGAACGAGGGAGGTGCGCGAGCACCCGCTTCCGCGGCAATCCCTGCAAAGGCACAAAGGTCCAGCTCCCGTTGCACCCGGGCTACGCTGCTCCCTGCAGCCTGGCATTTATGGAAAGCAAATTACTAATCTGTAGACATAGGGCATGAAGCTCCATGTGGGCGTGGGACATCTGCCAGGCACTGTCCCTATGGCAGTGACATGCACCATGCCCCCCTGCCCAAGGGAAGTGTGCTGGAGGTCTCCGTGCAGCCCCACCACGTTGTGCTGGTTTCCACGCAGCAGCTCTCCCTAAATCAAACTTTAAACCCACGTGTAAGTACCAGAGGGAGGCAGCCAGCCAGCGAAATCCCTCTTATGAGGGAACACCAACACTCCCAGTTGCACATGACTACAAACTGGGGATTTGGCTGGTAAATAAAAGATACCTAAGACAAAAAAAAGTCCTGCAGCTGTTGTAGACTGGGAAGCATGATCAGTGCATGGAAGGCCTGTCGAGCCTCACGCACGCACAGCGGTCGGGGTGAACCCGCTCGCCCGAGGGAGCCCCTGGGCTGGATGGAGACCCGCGGAGACCTCCCGGGGGGGCGTGCGGCAGGCAGCCTGGGTGCAGGGCGGCAGCAGGGCAGTGGGTCAGCCGCGCTCGTGCCCTCGCCAACACCCCCTGCACGGAAGGGCACCAGAAGGGGCTGCCAGGAGGC